TGATAATATATCAACCTTTAGTCAAAATATCAAATGGCCTGAACGACAAGTCGGGCAAAAATAGCTTGGCACGGAACGTGTTAAATAGATGAGAGGATATTAAATAGAAATTAATTCAATCGTTAACGTTACAGGGACTCCTTGATAAGTACCTGATCCCTAAGGCTAGTAATGCCGAGAGCAAAGTATTCTACCTCAAGATGAAGGGCGACTACTATAGGTATCTCGCAGAAGTTGCTACAGGAGAAACCAGAAATGGTATGTACCTGGTAATTCAACAAGTTACTAACAATTCTACAAAACTGTAACAATCTAATTAACGATCATTTTTAGTTGAAGTTGATTTTTCATCAACGCACTTTTGAAGCACTAGTACAACTACTCTTTTCTCCTCCTTTCTATTTTTTCTATTTTTTTTTTTCTTTTCTTCTTGCGTTTATACGTTTCACCGAATTTGAAGGCAACAATGCTACCGAACACACACACACTTTCGTCTGTAATTTGACATTGACATTCATGCGAAATAGAAAGAGAAGACGCGCGTCTTCGAATAGAGAAGCGTCACACAATACTCTCTCATACCTGTGACCGTTTCTTCGGGATTGTACTTGAGAAAAGAGGGAAGCGCAGCTGCAACGGCAGATGTTTCTCGTTCAAGCTGTTGTTTGACACATTTTTAGATTTAAGTGGATTTGAAAAATTCCATGACGTTTGTCGTGCGTCAGAGGAGAATACCTTGATCTGTACTTGATGTGTTGCAACAGAAACGTTTCGAAAACTTTGGTGGAATTTAACGCTGCACTTTAACTATTACTATCATCATCATCATTATCATCATCATCATCATCATCATCATCATCATTATTGTCATTATTATTGCTGTTATTGTTGTCACGGTTATGAAACGTTGAAAAATGGCCGGATCGACATGGATTATAAATTCGATTTATATAAATGTATCAACGATTGAAAGAAACCGAAAGGTGGAAATTTTGCTGATAATTTTGCACGTAATGTATATTCAGCCGTGGTAGACGACAGTCAAAAGGCATACCAGGATGCGTTCGAAATCAGCAAGTCAAAGATGCAACCTACTCACCCGATCAGGCTAGGTCTCGCCCTGAACTTCTCCGTTTTCTATTACGAGATCCTCAACTCTCCAGACAAGGCCTGCCAGCTGGCCAAACAGGTATAATTTTCACAAAGGCGCGAGAGTTGGTACACGCATATCGATAACAGAGTTTTCACAGCAATCGTGGAAAGATGCGAAAGGATGGTGGTCATGCAGTGGAGGCAAACAAACAAATCAGATATTTCGCTTTATCGTTCGATGGGGTGAAGGAAGAGGCTCTTTTCAAGCTTTCCAACTTGTCATGTATACC